ATGCCGAAGACTGACTGAAATACGTATCTGAGAAATAATTGGCGTCTGATGAGTTATTTTTCCCTCTCGCCGGCAGACTATGTCTCAAAATATTGAACAAATATGCTTTGGATTATTGCTCCCAGAAAGGGAAAATCAAATGCCGATTACTATCTCCACGCCTAGTTTAGAGCCCTGGAAAGAGCGAATTCAAGAAAAAGACTTCCCCAAATGGACGACGCCTGTCGGCATATCTACAAAGCCCGAAATTCAATCATTTGGCGCAAATTATGCAACATACCGCGAAGCATAGCCACCTCCCATCTAACGTCGAAAAAAATGTCGATCACGTTGATACATGCCAGATTGCGAGAGTACCGCACCCTACCCTTTGAGTGAATCATGACCCCAATTTTTGAGCGATCGGTAACTCTTGCTATTCGTGTCGTACTTGACTCGCTCCTCTTGCGCTAAATGACGCTTGCAGTAGGATACCACGCGACGCATGTGGTCAATGTCTTGATCGCTGTAGTCGGACGGGTTCTCGTTGGGATTGTGCTCGAGTATCTGCACAATCCTTCGGCCACTATCGCCATGATTAGCGCTCGTTTCTGTTCTCTGGCCACTGGAGTTCTGATCGAGGGCAACCAAAGTAAGAATTACTGACCTTTCGTGACCAATAGTCTCCCCGGAACCGCCCGCCCAACCCGATGTTTGTGATTGCTCTTGCTCAAGCCAACCACGAAGCTCGATTGGGGTCATGTTCACGAGATCGTTGAATTCGCTGCTCAGTTTGTCAACAATTTTTGTTTATCAAAGCTGGTATGGAAAGATACCCAATCACGGTGTCTCTGTCCTGCATTGTTTCCACTGATGAATATTGGAATTTTGGTTGGATACTACGAGTGATGAGTGATTTCGCTGATTTGAAGTTCAGTTTGACGTCATAGCGGCGGAAGCATATTGCTATGTCACGATGACATGACAAGGCTGGTAGATACCGTGGACACCTCAAGCAGAATTGCTAAATTCTTAGACAAATTGGACCTTCTTTCTAAATTGAACGAAGGAGACTCTCTCGCGAGGGCAGGTTCAGACAATGCCATTACCACGGCAAGAACAATCTACCATGCGGATGTGCGCAATTAAATAACAAAGCATTGCTCCATTTGTTGGAATTCTGATCGCTGGCCATCTCTGATTGGACTACAGTGTAGTGGTGCGATGAAAGAGGGAGAGAGTTATCAATTCCTAAAGGGGCCGAATGCCCAACTATCTAGTTATGGAGGCCGCACCGGGCTGATGGTCAGGTGACCACCATGTCCAACAATCTCATATCGACTTGGATGTGTCCAAGCCCATTAAAGAATAGTTGGTCTTCATCGCTTTCCTTTTCTTTTCTTTTTCCTAAATCTGACGATCAAATTTAACCAACTATGCAGTCAGCGTCAATCATTTGAATAAAAGATATTCTGAATTAACCCACCGACCAAGCCCAGGACCATTGCTCCACTGGGCTTTGATAGTTATCATCCTTTTGAATTGGGCGAATTTGTTGTTTTATCTTGTAATCAATTATCGGGTAAGATTTATGGTAGATTTCAGCGGTACGGGGACCAAGTGATATTATGTTGAGGGCCTACTGTGTGGCACAAGCGAGAAGAGGGAGAGAGTTGAGATTCATACGTAGGGCTGTATCTACTACGAGGTGAGACTTCTTGCAAAGACACTCGGAAGTATCAGGAACTAAATTGTAAAGCTGCCTAGTCTCCCCATTCATGTGATATAACACAACGCACATTGTATGCAGAGAAATGCGTAAGCGATGTCAAATTACATTGGCAGCGCTCATCATGCATCCGTAGGCTGTTGCCATTCTTGGCTAGCGTTGGAATAACCCTAGCTATAATGTTAAGTACTTACTAGGATTCTCAACAAATAATAAACCCTACATTCTGGGGACCCTATGGTCCAGTTACTTTTCCAAGGCATACACAGAAAGGCAGGGATTGCAACTTTGACCATAACCGCCGATTTTAAACTTATCATTGCATGCCTAGAAAAGGCACCGTTTCCGATAATCTCTTTTTTTTTTTCAAGACTTTATTGTGATTATTATTCCGTTTATCTGTGTCATACGATATAAGGCATTGGATTTTATATAAACCAGTCTGCCAAATCCACGGTTAAAATTCTCCCAGCTTACAATCACAAAATGGCATCCCAGGATGGATTTCCCTCGAACCAGACCGGCATCATACAACATGAAGGTGGTGTTCTTCGAATCACTCATGGTCTGCCTATCCCAGAACTTGGCCCCCACCAAATGCTGGTGAAGACTGCTGCCGTGGCCCTCAACCCCTGTGATTTTAAAATGCCACTGAGGTTCCCGACCCCAGGTCTCTGGGATGGGTGTGACTTTTCAGGCACCGTGGTCGCACTAGGAAGCGAGGTTGCTGCACAGGGACGATTCCGTCTTGGAGACCAAGCTTTTGGTGCTGTTCAAGGCTCCAATATGTCAGATCCCATGTCTGGAGCCTATTGCGAATACATTAGAACCGAGCCGGATCTGACTTTCCATGTTCCTAAGGGAATGGACCTTGTCAACGCAACCTCTCTCTCGGGGACTGGAATTGCAACTCTTGGGGTTGCTCTTTTCTGGTCACTTCAGTTGCCTGGAACATTGACTACACCAGCATCCAAACCCGAGGATGTTCTGGTATACGGCGGGAGTAGCACTATAGGACTACTTGCAATCCAGATGGTGAAGCTGTAAGTATCCCCTTCCTTCCCATAGCTTTCTGTATATTCGGATAACTGATTCATCTTGCTTAGCTGTGGCCACCGGGTAATTACCACATGTTCCCCTCATAACCGCGACTTGGTGACATCATACGGGGCAGATCTTGTCTTTGATTACAACTCTCCAACGTGTGCCGAAGACATTCGAGCGGCTACAAAGAACACCTTGCGCTATGTCCTTGATCCCTTTGCGGAAGCAAAGACTCTGCGGATGTGCCATGCATCCATTGGTCGTACCGGAGGAAGATACTGTGCACTTGAGCAATACCAAGAAGGCCTTTGTTTGCGAAAGACAATCAAGCACGAGCTAGTCATGGGAGGTGCCATCTCCGGACGAGGTGTCGAGCTACCAGACCCATATGGCATTCCACCACGACCTGAGATTGGAGTCTGGGCTCGGTCATGGTACCTAGAGCTCCAAAAATTGATAGACGATGGGAAGCTTAAGCCCTGTCCAACTCAAATCATTGCAGGCGAATTTGAAGGGATCTTGAAGGGCTTGGACATACTGCGAAATGGAAGGGTCTCGGGGAAGAAGCTCGTCGTCCCTATGATCACCAAATAAAAGGTTGTATTGATGTGGAGGAAGGAAGGCAGAATAGCCCGATCGCGAATTATTTGAGAAAATATACATTTTGATGTACGGTTGGAATCCCATGCCACCTTGTACACACGAGACTGCCCATCTCTAGATTATCGTCATAGTCTAGCTTTGAACTGATTTATACATCAGATATTGATCTCTTTGATTTTCCTTTGAGTTAAATCTCCTGACTGGTGTGATGGGCTTTAGACGTACGGAGTAGAGAGCTCGATATCATCGGCTACTCGAGTAGAAAAAGTGTCATCCTATGAGAGTCGAAAAGATCGTTTAACCAAGTAACTCTAGAAGGAAGTTAAATTAAGGATATGAGGTACATTCATTCGATATGCGTTGGAAATACGGAATTATCGACGTAGGTAGTAGGTTGGGGGTCTAATTTGGACCATCGTAAACCATCTTAGCAATGACTTTCTTTTCCTCCTTGGTCGTGCTAATGTTTCGAGTCAAATGTCTCCTTCCGTCCAGCTCTTCAAATCCCCAAATCACTTCTGCTTCCCATCCCTTTGACGTATTCCGGGCCAATTCTTGAATGACCTTGTCAGTCAAGCTGGCCGCCTCCAGAATTTGACGGATGGAGTTATCCAGTATGCCAGATTTGTCGATAAATTTGAGCTGCATTTTAATCTCTCCAAAGATAGGTAGCGAAACGTCTTGCTTGCTTCCATCAACCGAATAACTCCCTTCGCTGTCAAAGCCGCCTGGGTTGACAGTTTGTGTCATACGAAGAGTCGTGAATGGTTTCAAATTGCCGGACAAATCAGAAATTCCATTAGAGTTTCCCTCCGTGTGTGTGCTTTGTTCGGCGGATAGGGAAGTGGTCTGGTGGATTTGCAGCGAAAGCCGGGCGTATTTCAAGACCTTTCGGACAGCCCAAGGTACGCCTTGCTATTCTTTCTTAGTATAGCCAACCAACATCTCAGTTCACTATTACTCTTACCAAGATAAAGACGTCATCTGGATCGGTTGACAGCTTTCGGTTCTAATCATCATATTAGCCCATGCGTTAGGCAAACATCAAATGGAGAAAACGTACCAATAACCAGGTTCCAGTAAGATCAGGAACATCTTTGGAATCAGGTATAGCCATCCTCAGGGTTTCAGATTTAGCAAGTAAGTTGGGAATAGTTCTTTCCTTATTTTACTTTCGAAATGTATCACTCTGGTAATGAGGCGAGTCGTTCCTTTTAATGGTGAAGTTGAATCTTCTCTACTCCATCCTCCAGGGATTGCTACATGGATGATTCTAAAACAACATCGGACTCGGACTCGGTGTCCGAACAGGGAATATCGAGTGCAAATATTCATTCATGCACAGACTGCGGTCGCCCATCAGTAACATTCTTATGGGTTGAAGAGATCGAACGCGACGTGGCTTCTGTACCAGGTTGCTCACTCAGGGGTAACCCTACAACACCCTTTATTCACCCAGTTTGTGATAACCATGAGCGTGAGGACACACTCTCCAACTCTGTCTGAGAGTTCCTTCATCTCATCTCTAGATGTGTTTCTAATTTTCTTTTTGATTACCCTACATAAACTGCCAGGTCCTAAAAGTCAACACAATCAAGGAGTAAGTAGATATTTTGAATACCGTCCAGGATCATAAACGATAATATTAAATAATCACTGGCTCTTTAACAAGCTGCCGCAAGCACTCCATTATTTCCATTAAAGACATTTCACAAGGATCTTGTTCTTGTTCTAGGACAATATCGCGGATTGAATTTGACCAATCTTTCTGACGGATTGTCTCAGATTGATCGAACTCTCGATCTTCTTGGGATTGACTTGGGCCTGACCGAAATTTAAGGGCTTGGTCAAGTTTACCTAGCATTGTAGAGCTGAACTCAACCAGTAATTGAACTTGGGCAATGAGATTCCCATCCAAATGAAACTGCCCAAAGTGTACCTTCGGTAACAACAGAATCGTGGCTGCATCAGTTGGAGGAATGATGAGAAACAGCTGGTACAACCGCATGAACACAGCACGGTATATGCGAACAAGTGAGCAATGTGCCTCCAATATTCCAAGCCACAGTGCTATATCGAATTTCGGGATTGTATGAGTTGTCGCTTGATCCGGAGATGTCGTTGTGGTATGATACCCAGAATCATGTGGGGATACTGTGGTGGCATCTTCATCCAAGCCATTTCCGCCATTGTCCGGGAAGATAAACAAAGAGTCTTCATATCCGCTGCTCTCTGATTCAAATCGCTGTGTAGCAAACGCAACATCCAAAGTCTCATCTGTCATACCACACGAAGATCGAACAATTGCCAAAAGCCAAGAGGAGTGATCAAGCAGACGATATATCGGAAGGTCGAGGGTTTCAATTGGCAAATTAGAATTTTCATAGAAAAGGGATGAAGATTCCAGAAGCATCGACCCAGTCTCAAATATCTCCAAATCTTCAAGAAGTTCCACCTTCAATCTCAACAGACTCTTACGAATGTCTTGTATGGAAAGGAGGGCGTCTTGGCTTGTTATATTTGTGGGCGGCTTCCTTATAGTTTGGTGATTCACCCATGCAGGATCTGGAAATTCCTTCATTGCAAAGGGCGATTCGTTCTCGCCATGGTTGAGACGTTTGGTTTGGAAGGGCTCGTAAATTGCCATCTCAGTGGCTTGCCTGGCACCTAGTGGAGCATCACTGGTGAAAACTGAGGGAAGCCAAGAATTCCCCTCATAAGCGTACATTTGATCTGATGGGATCCAATCAGAAGGCTATAGTAATTAGTAGTCAGTAAATGACTACTGTTGTTTTCCTCGGGCTCCAACTTACTAGGTTATAACCATCGGTCGATGAATTTGAATGAGGACCACCCCAATGCTCAACGGGAGCCATGATGTTTCCAAAGTCTAGGGGCATATTAAACCCAACCTCCGCCGAGGGCGAATGAAAGCTGCCTCCAGGAAAGCCTGGCATTGACGCTACTCCTCCCCAGTTCTGGTGCTCTTTCGTGTTGTATCTCCCTGGGATTGGAGAGGGAGAATGCAGTAACTTCTTCACTCTAGGGCCGGATGATTTGTGAAGCACAGCCATTGATTGATGCCGTTGGTTGAATCTTTGACTCTCACGGTCTTCTCGCGCAACTATATTATGACCATGGTTTGAGGGTAATATGACCGGTGCAGGCTGGTTCATACTTGTGATACATATTTCTTGGGCCTTAAGGCATCGTTCACAAGACATGCCATTCATATGATCGCGCTCGCATCGCAGCTTTTGCCCGCGACAACGATCACAAGCGGACCGTCGAGAGTGCCGATAATTGTGGATTGAATGCATTGTAAAGAAAAAAGAGAAACGAGAAATAACGTTCCCTATGGTAGCCAACGAGATACCATTCATGGGAAGCTACCAAGCGCAAATATGTACTTCGTTCTTGCCCCACTGAAATTGGATGCAATACAACTGTCAATTGGTTTGAATCATTCTCATCAGCACATCTAGAAAGACTTCAGGCTCAAGGAAAGACAGTTCTATTCGAAATCAGATCCTAGGAAAAAGGCCAGGAGAAAGGCTAGAAAAGCGCGTGGTTTGGTATCACCACGCCTGTATACCTCTCTATTGGAACATGATCCACAGCATGCTTGAACATGACCTTATTGATTGGATACTCATTTTTTCCACGCCCAATTCTCAAGTGTGACAAATTCTCAGGTCATAGCAACTTATCCCTCTCACAACATGTGTATAGACATGCGTACATGCAGCCAGAGGTTTAAGGGTATTTTTATCGCATCCATGAACTGAAGGCTGAACTCCAGAGTCCCGGTACGAGGTGCGTCAGGCTTTATGGAAGATGTTACACCATGCTCAAATGAGAGCAATGTATGAGAGAGCAGATCTGCTGTGATACAACATGGAGGTGGATAATGTTTCACATAGATACTACCACTGCGTTTTATGGGTTGGAGGCTGGCTTGACGCCATAGAGCCTAATCATTATCAATGAAACATAGACTACCATAAAATCACCAATACCCAATAAAGAGTAGATAAGTTCGATTTGGAAGATCGTAGTTCACGTTGAGCCCAGAGCACATCGACATTCGGAGAATTAAGGGCCCAGCTCATAATCTTCCGGCTTGACGGTTCTGGGCCCCTGATATTTTCTTTTCCCCTCTGCTGGATTTCATATTCTCCCTCCACATCCTGAAGTCCACCGATTACGTAGTATTCTAGTATCAACTGTCGAGGGGCAAAAAATGCAAAGTAAGGGGTTGAAAGCCTGACTGCTCTCCTGGCCAGAGCGCGGCTGGCTTTCAAACACTAGCAATGTCGACGGATTATAGAATACCAAAAGGAATATTAGGTATAATTCAAGGATACACATATCCACTTCCTTTTTTGATTACTGCCGTGTAGAACCCCGTGCGCTTTATCTTTGAGGTCAACCCTCTACGTATTCATTTACATTGAGGCTCCGAGCCGCTTATATCCTGGATTTGCGCCTAATATATCCGCCAGACCAGCCTCAGATGGGAAAGATCCACTATAACAACTTGAAATTTTGTCGTAACTTCTCTAGTTGTAATAAGCCACTTCTTCATGGAACTCGCTTATAATCAGACAAGTATTCATCGATAGAAAACAAAGTCGAAGAGCCTTCATAGGGAGTTTGCCCTCTGCCCAGTGTGTCCATTCCACTCCTTTATCACAACGCGAACTCCCTGACTTCCTTTTCGCGGGTGACCATTGAACATGTCTCGTACGATTCGAACGTCATCTACTGTAGTCTCGTAGAGCTCCATCTCAAATTCCCGGGAAATGGTGGCGATTGCTAGAAGAATCTCCGCCCGCGCGAGGCTGGTTAACAGATGCTAGTTAGTACACGATTTAAACAGAACAATCAAGGAAGATCCACATACGGAATTCCAATACACTGTCTGGATCCCTTGCTAAAAGCAACCAGATACTTCTCGAGGCTTTTCCTCTGCTCTGGGTCCATCCATCGCTCTGGGATGAAGCTTTGAGAGTTTGGGAAGATATCTTCATTATGGTGCATAAATATGCTGGTCATCCCCACAGGTGTCTGATGTATATTGTCAAAAAGAGGCCTAGAAAACCGCAAAATAGGGGAAGCAGATATCGTACCCCGGGAGGGATGATCCAGTCCTTGTAAGTCATAACTTGATCTGGAGAGCTGCGCTGAAGCCTTGTTGCCACGGCATTGGTGATTCTTCATGAGGGTCAAATAAGAAAACGATAAGGATTTGCCAGGGGAGTCAAGAAACAGAAGCCTTCATACCTTAGGCCCTCCAGCATAACAGACGTCTATTATATTATCAGATATTTTGGCATTTCATGAATCGAGTTTGCGAGCAAACAACTTACAAGGTACGGCATTGCCTCGTATTCCACCAAAGTTGCGGTTCCATTGGGGTCGAGTCGGTTGAGCTCGTCCCGTAGCCTTTGTAGCTTGTCTGGGTTGTTAAGTAGATGGAAGGTGAGTGTTGTCAGGTTCTTGGCAGTTGTTTCCCCTCCGGCGGAGATGACGGTGAAAACCTCTTGACTCAGGCGGCCAGGCGCCTTCTCCTCTGGGGGAAGCTTGCTGTCTAGCAACGCATGAAACAATGTGCCTTTCGGTACACTAACCTTATCATCTGCCAAGTTTGCACCGGCGGTCTGGCTAGCAATGATCGATTCCGCGAGTCGCAGACTTTCCAGTTTCTGATCAATTACCGGGCCGATGTGAGGGTTGATACTTACAACTAGCCACCGTGGAAGAAGCTCAAACAAGCTGAATACCCAGCGAAACTGTTTGAATTGAACTCCGACTTCCACAATTGCCTCGATTGTCTTTGACCACTGTGGTGTAAAATCAGGGTCGTCTAAATAATGAAACGATTCACCCATGGAATACTCCACGACCACGTCTGTCGTGTAGGCATTAAATGCATGATAAACATGTAGCGGTGTCCGTCTCTCCTTCCAGTTTCGCATTCCTTTGCGCAGCTTATCTATCATTTTCCGGAGCATGGGCTCCAATTGTCGAATTCGCTGCTGAGAAAAGAATGGGTTCATGGGTTGCCGACGTATCCGATGGTGGCGGTGATCGACTGAGCCGAAAGCTGAGGCCGGTGCCCCAAACATGCCAGTCAAATGTAAGGATTTGTTTCTCGGTTTGTCTCGAGAGTATAAGATTTCATAGTACTCTGGGTCGTCGATATGAAGTTCAAAGGGACTGATTCTCACAATCGGGCCGTATTTGCGATGCATCTCAGCGATTCGAAAAGTGTACTGGCCCCCGAGGAATGAATCGTAATAGAACTCATACCACATTGTCAGAGCGGCCAATTTTGGTCCGGGAAAATGGGCGAGTGGTGAAAACCATAGCCGATATGTTGCCAACCACACCCCATAGGTCACTCCAAGCACCCCAAGGGCCAGGATGGGCTGTGCGACAATGGCATTCCACCAATCCATGGTATTTTGATTTGGAGAGAAAGAAGAGACTCGTAGACGAGGAAAGACGCAAACCCTGATCTTCCAGTTCGGGGTGTCTTCTTGAATTGTTGCCCCACACCTGTCAAGACGGACATTATGGCACTAGGTCAGATAATGGATACAAAACGGTGATTGGAATCCGTCCTGTTGGTAACTTCGAGCGTCGTATCTTTGTGGATAGGGAAGGATCCAACCTATCGCGGCACATCCGTACCAACAGAAATAGCTAATCATATGGATATTAGTTCCGCTATGGGTTTGAAGAATGTGTCCAGAGCTTAGGATCATCCATTTCACTCCTTCTAAGAGGTCCGGATTTATGACATCCAAGCCCCGTTCAAGGGCACGGGGCCGCGCCCTCGGCGGAACCTTCAGGATCTGGACAAAGCGTTAAAACTGCCGACAGCTGAAGAATCATAATCGTAACGATGAATCATGATGTACGACGATTAAAGAATTATTGTCGCTTTCATTTTTTTACTCCTCATTGTACTCCATGCATTCCCTTTGTCTTCAAATGGATGTGACATATATCTGTAGGTTCATGTGGGCACTGGGAATATTCGAAATGCCTCACAGACAATGCGATTGTTCGAAATTGCATGAAACAGGAGACACAATAATCCTTAGGTATTGTATCATTCGATGCGATAGGGTTACCGTAATATCACTAGGCCGATCGAACCTTGAAGATGACTTGGCTAGGACACGGCACAGTCCTAACAAAGACGGCTTAGGGGACCGTAAAATAAGGGGTTTTCACACAAATCGATTTATATTGTCGTATAACTCCGTACTCCGTACGGAGTACATGTGCATAAATCAGCAGATTTGCTCCGGCCAATAACATGTACCTCGTATTCTTTGAACATCATGCGCACCCTTTAATTTGGCAAGCCACCACGACTCATCCTGCAGAGTGGGGGAGGTGCGGAGCTCCCGCACTTCCGGATTTGTCTAACATTAGGGGGTTTCATGACTTTTGCTTCAAAGTCCAAAGTACTTTGTAGAAATATGGAAACTTCCTATGCAGACTAAATGGGAGAGACAAATTTGTATACAACTATCGGTAATATCATCGAAATGGATTTCGACCTCCCAGCAGACCTTGAAGAATCAGTAATCGCAGCTAAGGCGCGTATCCTAAGAAAACTCTGGCTGTTAGTCAGGCTACTCAGTTCCCGTTGAGTTGATGGCACAGGTGGAGATGTTGATGTTTATATTAAAGACAAGCTGGGAAATGGATCGTATCGTGGCGGAGTGCCTGTTGTCCAAATCCCAGCGCCCGCGTGGGTTGAGATGAGCATCGTGCCATGTGTACTCCGTAACTTCTGGGTAAATCGATCACGCTGTCAAGCTGCCGACCGAACAATCCGGGTACGTCCTGGTTGTTAAGACATTGCTGACCGATCAGATTCACGGGGATGATGGATATTCTCGTCATTACCCCTTCGAACATGTCGTTATCGAATCACGGAGGAGATTCAAATGCGGAGGGTTGGAGCATAAATTCTCGGATTTGCTGGCCCAAAGAAAAATGAGATGGAATGTGCTGGGCGTTTGGAGGCCAAAATCTGGACTGACCTCCCCTGAACCAGGTACTTCGGTTCGGGACCAGGCCATTCTGACAGAAGTACGGCCGAATCTGCATCGACACAGGAGATAGGAGTACGTAGTTACCCGTAGGTAATAATAGCAAAGTACTAGGTATGACACATTTCAGAAGATCTCTTGGATCATTTTGTGTAAATATGAATGCACGTTGTACGGAGTACGGAGTAGTTAACTTAACTAGTTAGTTAGTTAGTCACCTTGTGTAACTAACTACTTCTTGTGGCCTGAAATATCAGGCCAGAAAGCCACGTGGTCTTTAGCTAGCCTTGTTGCCTGGTTGCCTGGTTGCCTGATTTCTAGAGCTTCAAATTTTCTAATCTACCGAGGTCTTCCCGAGATACAAGACAAGTGCATACAACATACGGAATGCAACATACAACACTGTTGTGTCCACGTGTGGCTGCTACCTAGTTGAAATAGTGGCCTATACCACCGAAGCCGTTTGGAACATATGGATAGTGCAGGTGCACTCACACAGGTAATATAAGTCTTCATGTCCCATATCTTCTTCTTGGGAATGAATCCCAATGATTTTCAATGTGAACTTCGTTATTAAGTAGTTCCTAAAGACCTATACCTATCTTTGGCTGTTATTTTCCTATATGTCTATGTATCTCCAAAATATCGGTACTTCCACCAAAGGTACGGAGTACCATTTACGATGTCTTGCCTTCCTTTCCGGGTGGTTCGGTGCATCTGTTACCTAAAAGATTTAAGAATTTTTACCTCTTTACTCCACCCATGGATCTCTTCAAGGAACCCCACCGGGTTCGTTCAAGCCTCTGCGGAATATTTTCAACTCTCGACAATCGTGAAACGGCATATCGGTGACCTAAGTGACGGTCATCTTGTTCAGATCCCATTTTCAATCGGATACATCCTGTGGCGGCCCTGTGATGTCCGACATGGTGTCTCACGATGCTTCCGCAGCACATGATACCAAAACATCTGCAAATGTGATCTCTGTAGAGTCGGACAATGTTTTTCGAGACACCAAAGAGCCTGATGCCGAGCAAAATCACGCTGACACCTCCAACTCTGGGGAACTCAAGCGCAGGCTGAAAAGCAGGCATTTACAGATGATTGCAATTGGTAAGTCTTAGTTTTCTTGGTCAAGATGGGTTACCGCAGATGCTAACTTGCTTCGGTCGCAGGTGGAACTATTGGCACAGGTATACTATCTTGCCCTCAGGTCCTCGGCTAGCGAATCCAGAAGTCTGACCTATCCAGGACTCTTTATTTCCAGCGGTACTGCCATCGCAGAATCCGGTCCCGCAGGCGCGTTGATCGCCTATATATTTGTCGGCTCCATTGTCTATTCTGTCATGAGCTCGTTGGGCGAAGTTGCAACCTATATTCCAATGCCCGGTGCCTTCACATCCTATGCAGCCCGGTTGATCGACCCAAGTCTCGGATTTTCCATGGGTTGGATCTATTGGTTCAACTGGGCCTCCACATTTGCTGTCGAACTAACCGCCACCGGTACTATCATCCAATATTGGGATCCAAGCCTAAACATTGCTATTTTCATCGGAGTGTTTTGGGTGTTCATCACGGCTATGAACTTCCTCCCTGTCAATTTCTACGGCGAAGTGGAATTCTGGTTCTCAACTATCAAAGTGGCCACTGTTGTCGGCTTCATCATTTTTGCCATTTGCATCGATGTCGGAGTTGGGGAGCAGGGCTATCTAGGCTTTCGCTACTGGAGCACGCCAGGGGCTTTTGCCACGTATAGTCCCCATCTACCGGTATATGTAGGCAAGTTCGTTGGCTTCTGGGCGGTGCTCATCCAAGCCGGATTCTCTTATCAAGGCACGGAGCTTGTCGGTGTGGCGGCTGGAGAAACCGAAAACCCACAAAAGACGGTCCCATCAGCTATCCGCAAGACGTTTGTTCGAATTCTTCTCTTCTTTGTCTTGACGATTTTCTTCATCGGGCTCGTGGTCCCCTATGACAACGGCCGCCTCACCACCGCGACCACCAACGCATCATCCTCGCCTATGGTTATTGCAGCTGATTTGGCAGGAGTCAAGGTTCTTCCAAGCTTGATCAATGCTGTGCTCTTGTCCGTGGTCTTGTCGGCCGCAAACTCCAATGTGTATAGCGGCAGTCGAGTCCTCACTGGATTAGCACATGAAGGGTTTGCCCCAGCCTGTTTCGGTTGGGTGACCAAGCACGGTGTTCCGTATATTAGCGTGACATTCACCGCTTTGTTTGGCTTGTTGGGTTTCATGAACGTTTCCAATGACGCAGGGCAAGTTTTCACTTGGCTGGTGAATCTTTCTAGTGTTGCAGGCTTTGTGACTTGGGCCTCGATCAATGCGTGTCATATCTCGTTCATGCGGGTATTGGCAACCCGCGGGATTTCTTGTGATACGCTTCCATATAAGGCCGTCTTGCAACCATATCTCGCTTGGTATGGTTTGTTTTTCAATGTTCTTATCGCCCTCACCCAGGGTTTCACTTCTTTCATCCCACATTTCCGGGTGACCGACTTCTTCGTTGCCTACATTTGCCCCATCGTCTTTGTCGTGCTCTATATTGGACACAAGGTGGTTTTCCGTCCGTCATTTGTCCGTGCCGCCGATGCCGATATCGACACTGGCCGCTTGCACTATCAAAAGCAAATCGATCCTCCCATTCCATGGTACTGGAGGGCCTGGGGCTGGTTCACGAAGTAATACAGCATAGTCATCCATATATGGATATTTGCAGTGACCCTACGTAACAATAATTTTTTCATACATCCATGAGCCATTCTTGGAATCATGTATTTATTATGCGTTGTGCTCTTACCAATAATCATCTAAAAGGACACCTAGCCCCAGATTCTGTGGAACACCCTCGAATCTCCACATGACCGGCTCACAAAGCATCGTTGTATGTTGCCGCGGTTTTTATATCCACTTTAAGTGCCGGGCCACCACAGATAATCCGCCTATCAATGCAGTTGCGCCGGTGCAAACAACGAGTGTCCCGTAGCCAGTGCCATATGCACCCAACGCATGTCCTCGCCAGTTGTCTGCCTTGAGCAGAGCCTCACTTAGGGGGCCACTTGCCACATTGCCAATTCCACGCCCTGTTTCCATGAATGGGAAAATGACAGTCGCGTCTGCCAATGGATTGGCCTTCTGCACCTCGTTGGAGACACCCGCCCATGTGGAGGAAAAGCCACCCGCGAGAAGACCATAGGCGATACAAAAGACGTATAAAGGGGGAATGGTGGCAGCAAACCCCCAAACAAAAAAGACTGCGATAACGGTACCGACAGTCGACATCAAAATGCAGGTAGTGATGTGATATCGGTCGGAAAGGAATCCCATGATGACAGAACCAAACACTGCAAACAAATTCACGAGCATTACGGTGAGAGACGCCATGTAGTCAGTCGCACCTAGACTGCGTGCGTAGGTCGGAAGGTATATTGTCGGCAAGAAGAATCCGATTGCTTCCAGCGTGTTGCCGAGCTGGTAAATTATAAAAACTTTGTTGTATAAGAATCGAAAATTCAAACGGTGATATGCAACTTCTGTCGTACGCAGCCTCGGTCGATGAAAGTAGAGAAAAGGCACAGCAAGAATGAACAATGCCACTGAGGATATTTGAAGCGTAGCCTCAATGCCATACTGGTTCAAAAGCCACTGGATGGCAAGTGGGAAGACAATTCCGGATACACCGGACCCGCCCTAAGACATATATCAGTTCGACTTTCCATCAGAGGGAGCTCATGGTGCAGCATTCTGTGTAACTCACCCAGACAATACCAAAAGCCAGCCCTTTTCGTTTATCAAACCACTCCGACATGAATAGGATGGTGGGAGTATAGGCAAAGCATCCACCAATTCCGAAGCCGATTCCTTGTGACAAAATAAGATGCACGACGTTGGTAGAGAAGGAACTCAGCGCCAAAGACAAACACATGATAATAACTCCTATGGTGGACACCCAGCGAGCAATTTTAGGCACTAAAATCATCAAAATTATTGCCAACGGGGCAATCAGATATGCGATACCCTATATGTTGTGTTAGCGAGAGAGGGCGACCTTAAGTATCTTGCCAACCAACCATCGCACAAGTGCCAATAATTGCAATGTTTTCGGATCCTTTGAATGGCTCGTGTGTACTATAATAGTCTTGGAATATACCAAAGGCGAATGCATAACCTAGTCGCGTGTTAGTTTCAACAACAATTCATCTTCGACCAAGAACAATAAGAACGTACCCCAAACTAGAGCTTCGAGCATTGCAGATGCCATAAGAAACAGCCATGCTTGAACTCCACCATCAACCGGCGGCAACTTCTCATCGTCTAGAATGATTCTGCTGTCGGACTGTTGGTCGAAGGGTATGAAGGATGTACTCCGGCTGGTGAAACTAGGAGAATACTCCTTAGGCTCCATGATGCAAAATGACCCACGACTCTAACCACAGGCGTGATGGATATCTGGAAGTACAATGGGTTTGTGTGTGGAAGCCACGGGGAGAACCTCCTTTGAAAAGGGTTTATATTCAATGCGGCCGTTTGACAAGAAAGCCAGGATCGGCCTAGAAAAAAGAAATAAGCTAATGGAAGCTAGCTGCATGACGAAATAAATCTCCTTGACAAAAATCCACCCAATTGGAGTGCAACGAAGATAGCGCAAAACCACATACCTGGAATCCAGGTAGACTGGGGTCCCAGCAATGTGATATTGAACCCCTAGATGTACCGATATGGTCCGTTTCAAAGTCACGCGTCCAAACAGACTGTACCGTGGTGACCTAGGTCTTTGGTTGATTTTAGTAGACATCTCCTCGGTGGAGAATGTATTCTCTGTCGTTCTTCACTCGCTGCTAGGATATTAGGCAGAATGTTTCAAGTTACTGCAATTCGAGGTCGTGTCGATCGGGTGCGGGATCTGCTCCACAAATAGTCCGAATGAAATGACAACGGTCTCCTCTAGGGCTGGCTGACTGTTTAGGTGCACAAAACGCCCCGCTCGGCGGATAAAATGGGAAATGGAATGTTGATCGGGGATCATTGCATAGCAGAGCTGGTGGGCTCGGAGAATTCCATGTTGATAACAGGTTTCCGACCCGCTGTCATTGGCAGAGATAAGAACCAAAGGAGAGTCACTTCTGTCCTAATGGATGAAGCTTCGTCGCTGTGTAGATCCAATCAGTATAGATGCTCCCATCTCTAAATGAGGTCATGCACAGACGTTGACTCTTTGAATGCGTTAAACTCGTTTGATACTACCAAATGACATAAATTCCAGAATCACATGTCTTTAATAAGATATCGTCAGCGAACGGGACAATAAACAATATACAATGTCATACCTCTTCGAACGCTACACGGAGGGGTTGAGTGACATTCCAGCCAACGGAGCTAATACATGTTCTTCCATTGAACCAGATAGCACCGTCTCCTGGCATTATTAGAGATTCCACTCTTATCACAGTCAAGGGCATTAATGTCCATCAATTCTTCACAAACCAGCTCGGTTCTTATCATGGTCTGCGGGTACAGTCATCGTGCATTGAGTCCCAATGCTTTGTTGGTGGCGGAAAACGGCTCAAATATGTTTTGGACGATCGAAGACGATCTGTTGGTCTGTCTTGTCATTTAAATGACTGATGAGATTCATATGGCACATGGTCTAGATGATTTGAGAAGGAGGTCAGTTATGCCCACTTGGACATCTGAGGTTGTTTACGTAATCTGGTGATTCCGCCCGGGTGCAGGAGACCATCTTGCTCACAGTTTGAACAACTACCGTATAAGACATTCTATGTTGTAGAATGAATTTCCCAAGATATATAGCCTCAGTTCTGGCCAGCTCAACAGGTAAATTACGCCATTTCAACAATGGAATAGGCATGGTCCTTCTATTCTCATTCTCAATATCATTGAATTGAATTGAATTGAATCGAGCTGGGAGTTCCAGACTGCGACTATTGACAGAAGGGAGTTAAGACTGTAGGGACTCGTATCCCGAGGCGATCGAAGTGGAAAGCGTATTGCTCACCATCCCGAGCAGCCTCCGTATAGGTCAGACTGTCGCCAGCAGGAACGTCAGTTAGAGGCGAAACATGATCAGCAAAACCGCAATGTTCATCCCAGATCAGAATGAAGAGGGTCTCATTTCACTGAGGCGAATTTCGCACAGCCTCATAGATGTTCTTGACGAAGTCCTCGCCCATATTAATCGGGGATGGAGGATGCATTGACATGTAGGAGCAGCACTCGGGGTTGATCCAAGTAAATTATGGCAGAATCCCAGCTTTGGCATCAATATAGAACTGGGAAATTGGAATGACGTTATCTTTGCCATTCTTCGCAGCATTTTGAGTACAAAAAGAAAAAGATCAGAAGTTCCTGGTTTTTGTGCCATGTGATAATTTACCTTCTGAGTGATCAGAGTAAGTGGTGGTAGACATATCGTACAATATCATCCAAGCATTCATAGTGAGATCGGGTGCATTAGCGGATAACTCCCTTGTATTTGCTTTATAGAAATGTTCAGGTCACCGCATATCTACTGGCTGCGCTATGGATTTTATACTTTTGTTCGAGATAATCATTTTCTGTCTTATGACTATCATTTTACTTCATCCTGAACACTACTAGCACGTTGCATGATTGGTCGGACTACACTGTCCCGTGAAAAGGTCAGCTTTCTAGGTCTCGGCGCCGAAAGCAGCACCATGGGAGCAGTTCCAGCAACCCCGGTATCCAGGCCGATAACCGTCTTGGTATTAATGAAGGTGGGATTTTGCTTCGATGAGCGAGCTTGCTCTAAGTGCACTAACAATGGCCCCGATATCAAAGCAGCCGTCTGCTACTTCAATTTGATACTATAGACCAATTCAAGCCTGACGTAATGTAATGCCTACACCAACTGCCAACCCCCACTTTTTGACTATTGTATTCCCTCAAAATGATGACTGGCAAAATATCGACTCGATCACAGGAATTGGGTCCTTCGAAGAGTGGTCGCCAGGGCTCAAGAGTGTGTTGTGCCCGGTACAGTCAGGGCCGCTGTACTACAGTTAGTGACAGTCCAATTCTTGGTCGGCACCCGACTTACGTGAAGAGACGGCATGGCTTTTTCAAAGACACGGTGAGAACGTCCCTGTGACTCATTAGTCTCTCTCAACCGAAGCATGGTAGCCGGAAATCTATCTCACTCTTCCTCGATCGGATGGCAATCATTCAATGGCACATCAATACCACGGCTCTTATCGGCCGTTTCAATGCCCACCTGCATGGTCCTGTTAGCATCAGAGCGTGGACTTCAGGAAGAACATACGCACGAGTGTTCTTTTGGGATTCTTTGCTGCCGATGCAGAAAGAAGCATCAAGCTTATAAGCGACAGCTGCTTGAGACCGTACATGATGCAGATGACAAACAGAGGTCCGATAATGGTATGATGGTACTCCGTATAGGATATGTACTCGACGGTGCCTGCAAGTATAACGCAGAAGGTCAACAACTCTTTCAGCAAGAAGATGCCAGCTGTCTTTCATCCCTTGCGTCTGTTTCTCCGAGTGCTAGGGTTACGGCCAACTGTATTGTGAGGTTCACACCCCTTTTTTGCTGTGATTTGCCCTATGGAGTACGGAGCATATCGTGGAGATCAGAATATGGCTGCTGATTCGCACTGCACGGAGTATCGAAGGTTATGGTTGAGGTGCAGTGTCGATCTAGGAGTACCCTTGAATCTTGGGGGATTCTGAATTCTATGGATACCCATAGAAGATAGAGCACATTCTGCAAGTAACGTGAGTTAGTTAATAAATGCTTGTCAAAAGACTTCTGAAGTCTCCAATGTCTTAAGGAGTGGAAGTGGCCAGGCGATGTCTCCCGATTAACCTCCACTTCAACAACTTCAACCTCATGTCTTCCAGTCGAGTCTCCTTTCTTTGTATTTTCTCGATTACGCTCCTATTCACAATCCAACAAAAACTCGGCGGTCTCATTATTTGATGAGTTGATTCAATTTTTAGTGGACAGGTGGCACCATGGGTACGTTACATTGCTTGTGGTGTTCTAAATCATTGCTGATCCGATCGCAGCTCGATATATTCGATTCGCGATGTACCCTTCGAGTGCAGATGTTCGCACTGGCCCGATCATTTCCCGCCCTACTGAATGCGATCCTCGCGATATCCGCCCGACAGATGGGGGTTCAAAACTCATATGACAGCCTGGAGCTTTACCAGGAAGCGATTCGCCTGCTAAGCCCCTTACTGCAAATGCGCGATCCTAAAGTTGTCGCGGCCTGCGTACTGCTCTGCTGTCTTGAGCATGATGTCTGCTCGCGCGAATTTAACGCCCAACACGATCTGATACTGTCATGTGACAACAAGCAAACAATTGATCTGATGACGAAATCCAATTCGCCGTATCAGACAAAACTACGTCATACCTTTTCACGCAACCAATGTTTGTTGATATCCACGTGACGTAGTTTTGTCTGATACGGCGAATTGGATTTCGTCATCAGATCAATTGTTTGCTTGTTGTCACATGACAGTATCAGATCGTGTTGGGCGTTAAATTGATTGGCGCCGTCATTTGGAGGGATGTGCGGCATTTTTTGACGCCTTCGAAATGAATGGGTTCAGCAGCGGCCTTCTACGAGCAGTGTTTTGGTGCTACGCACGCATTGGTGAGAATCCATGTTGTTACATTTTCGCCACACGACAGCGCATGCATCCAGTGCGACATCGGGTCAGTCGAGTTGTTTTTGATGCTTCATGGCAGCATATTGGAGGCTCCAGGGCTAGAGGGGAGCTCCAATCTAGAAGGTGCCAAGCCTCCAGATTAGGAAGGTGCAAGCACTATCACCTGACCATCACCTGATTTGATTTGTCACCGTGTTTACGGTCCACGGGTTGCCGTGGCGGCAGGAACTTGTTGAGAGTCAAACTTGACGTTCAATAATAAATGCTACCTAGAAAATCATGATGAACAATCGACACTTGGCGCAACTACGGTTTCTTTCTTCCCTGCCAAACCTCGACTCTTCTTCCATTCGTCCACGATTCCAGCATACACCGAAGGCCTATACACCCCGGTCAGCTCAGTGTAGAACCCACCTCCGAGCCGGTGGGGATTCAGTCCCAAATCGCGCAGTAGCATGTCATTGTACTGATCGAATCGTTAGATTACGATGTCCTTGTGGTTTCACGCAACAACATACCTGGATAGCTTCAACTTCAAGGCCAGTTCCCGTCAATGAACCCAGGACCACATCCTCGGAGATAGCGTTCTCCATAACCTCCAGCGGAATATTCCCAAGCGAAAAAGCCTGGTCTTGGGTTGACTTGATGTCCGCGGGGGAGTCAAGCCCTCCTGTTAAAAATGCCGCCACCCAAAGAGCTTGAACCTCTGCAACAACAGCAATGGTTGATGATAAAATCACACCGAGCGTTGCGAAGGAGCGGTCACCTCGTGCGACTAATTCGGGGGCAACCATGCGGCGGAACAGGCGATATGGCACCAGCCTGTGAGATTCGGCCCACGAGGGAGGACTCCGATCTGTGAGAGCGCATCTTGTCGCATTCAAAGTTTTCCTGACCATGACCTCGGAACATTGATCTAGATTGTCCCAGCGTTGGATACGGTCATTCATGGTTGCCTCGAGCGGCCCATTGATTCTCTCTGGTGTTTCCACTCGAATTTTACGATCCTCTCGGAGATCCTCGCCCTTTGAGTCCACGAGGGCTGACAACCCCAATTCTAGACGGAGACTTGCAGGTTTAAACCTAATCGGCACTATTGGCTTGTATCCGGTGGCGTGGATGACCAAATCAACTTCATCAATACAATTGCTGTCTGCCAAGTGCACCGAAGCTTTTGTGAATGGATGCGTGGTCTTCTCCGGCCTGGTAGCGACAATATCCATGATGGCTGATCGGTAAACGTTGACATGGGGTAATCTAATTGTTTCCCAGAGGTCTTCCTGGTTTGCGATGCCAATACCGGATGCGCATGAGACAACACTAGAAATCATCAGTCTTCAAGTAACACAAATGACCTCTCATTAGACTTACCTGTTCTCTGGGCGAAGCTTTTCCATCTTCGGATCTGAGCCATATTGCGCTGTATCCTCCAAGCCTTTATCAATTGATCGCCAGAGCCAACGAATCCACCATCGGCCTATTGGGTTGCCATGGAATAGCCGGGCTAGCCATGAGCCCTCCCAACGGAGACCCCCGGGTCCGAGAGACAGACGTTTTGGAGTCTCATAGCAGCATGAGGTGAGATGGCTGAGCAGTCGGCTGCTGGCAGCCTTATCACTTGCAACGGTGTCGCCATTCGGGAGAGTAGACATTGGCGGTACCATCCACGCGGGCCCTACACCTCGATCACGGATGATCCAGTGTACCTGAACAGGATTTTTCTGTGTGGACTTGAGGTGCAACTTTGGGTCGTTGCGATGTAGAGTTGCAAAGAAATGCACCAGATCAAAGGATGATTTTGCACCACCATAAATACCAACCGAGCGCAATTGTGGGTAAGGGGAATCTGTGACTGACATTTTAACAGCCCCGGACTCAGGTGCTTTCAGTGGCTGGTATCCCAGGTGTTTCCGAGCCCAGTCTCCAACATCCTTTGCATGGATGACCGGGGGAGGGTCGTCGGACGCCGTTGATGACTCCTTCGTATCGGGCATATTTGGCACCGAGGTCAGTCCTGTAGCCAACACCAACTTATCGCAGATGATGGTGACGCGTTGACTCGGCGACGTGGACACACTGATGTTGAGCTTCCACTCTTTAGTGTCTAGACGGCTGATGTCGTCGACCTATCGATCATTCAGAAACCCCGCAATTTTAGAATGGATTGAGAGTATCTTACCGTCCAGTTCAATCGTATGTGTTTTTTCAGCTGCCATTTCTCAGCCCATTCACGGAGATAGCGGTTGATCTTCCAGCCTGCAATGAACTGATTCTGTGTGTCATCCCCTTGTTCCTCCGGAACAACGTTGGAAAGAGGCATATCACTGAATTCATAAAGTCCATACGAGTTCTGACTCAACAAATTTGGGTAAAGACGCTCCTCGGCCCAAGTACCTCCAATATCCGAGGCAGAGTCAATCACAAGAAGGCGACATTCGGAGGAGGCTGTTGGGGAAGTATCGATGCTCTTAGTGAAACAGGCAGGGATTTCCGTGATTTCATCGGTATGTTCGGCTGTGCTTTCGCCGTCATATGCCCCGACAAGTTGTAGATACGTCTTGGCTGCGATGAGCCCGTAAAGACCTAAACAAGTTAGCCAATGTCCAATTTAGTCGTCAACTGCTACCAACCTGCTCCAACGATCACGACTCGTTCCATGGCTAAAATGATTGAAGAGAGAGAAGTCAGGGGAGGGAAAAAGACGGAGTTTTAAATCCCAAAGCGTACAATGAAAAGGTAACAATACGAAGAATAGCTCGGAGCTGCGAGGATCTTGGTATTGTTCTTGTGGGGTCACCACAACAATGAGAATTCCATTTGAAAGATTGAAAGTAGTATTTTGGAAATATCAGACAACTTGTAATGGAAATATAGTGGCCGACATCATCTTGTGATGGTCAGCTGTACCTCGAACAGGCCGAACAGCGCGATTGACTGGCCTAACCATTCTACACGTCCAAAGTCAATGCCCATGCTTGATGTTGCAAAGACACGCCTACTCACTTCAGTCGATGTTTAGATGCGTCACTACCAATGTTGCAGGAGATGGAAGATGATATTCCTACTCCATACTCCGTAAGGATGTGGTCCCTACGCAAAGGTTGCATATTTGGTCTTTGTGAGCTGCCGTACCCCGTACCGCTCATGTTGTTGACCTCGTCATCTCGCGTACTCCATACAACATACTCCGTACAGCACACATTATTACATCGACAATATCCATATCGATGTATCGGCCTACTGCTCCCGAGCATGGAGCTATTTTCATATGACCAAGCCCCAAAAGTTCTATCCCCGATGTCTGCCTTCACCCGTGACGGGGGCATGACTTCCGCCTGTCAACTATATAACACCCCGGGTTTTGATGCTCGCTGCGGGATAGGTTGTGGGATATCTGCGCCTCACCCCAGATGAAGTCACTCAGCTCAGGGGTCTTTCTATCTACTTCACTGGCTCTTTTGCCTTCCCTCCCATGAGCTAACTAGGTACCTGAAGTCGCCTGCCATAGTTTCGGTTATACTCGATCGGAGCCCTCGGTCACATCGGCACCGCCTAGCCCAGCAGTCGCTTCACGGGCTAATCACATCCCGGCCGATGGTTTGAAATCCCTGATGGCCGGATTTATGGATCTTTTCCCGCAGCTGGCATCAAGGGACTTTGAAAAGGCGGGGATTTGCTGTACAACGGACATTCCGACCGGCGATTTCATCTTTGATTTCCCCCTGGAGCACAAGCCCTTGTTTATTGCTACTGGAGGAAACGCGCAGTAAGTGAACCCAAGAATGGACCTTTTTCGGGGGATGTTAACTAACATTCTCATATCCAGTGCGTTCAAGTTCCTGCCTGCCATCCGAGAATACATTGTGGGAAGCTTCCAACTCAGGCTTTCGCGGGAGTTGCTTGACAAATGGAAGTTCCCTACGCAGTCCCGTGGGCGTTTCCAGGAAGAGGTATTCACGGGAGATGGAAGTCGTGGAGGACCAGAGCGAAGGGAGTTGACTACTCAAAAGCTCAACACATTTGACACGGCATTGAAAGCTGCTTCACCCAGGCCAGGCAAGATTTGCAGCTGCGAAGGACACAATCCAGGCAATATATCATGTTATAAAGAGGAGCAGTTACCAATTTTCGGAGCCATTACATACTTTGAACGAATCAGGGCACGCTAATGATATGAAAACATCAGACCCCTTACTTTTCTTCAAGGCCACGAAAGGCGATTTGAATGATAGATGGCCCGACTTTATTTACCTCAGCCAGTCAGGCCGAGGGGCTTCATTGATGGATTAGGATATGCAGTCAAGGCTTGGAAAGTTGGTTGGCAATTCTGATTCGAGAATTGCTTGTATGAGAGGACAGTAATAAATCCGACAAGTAAAAAAGACCCGAATTGATGCGCTTTCTTGTTTCGATCTCCGGATCATTCGAGAGATACCCGGGGCCTCCTCATTTTTATTAAGATATTTTGTATTTTGTGATCAATGAGGATTCAAAAAGTCTTTCATTGGCGAGTTCGGAGAGATACGAAGCTTCTTCCATTTCATGGAGTAAAAGTGCCATCAGACATTTCCACCATCACCTTCACGAGAGGACACAAACTCTGCAATCAAGATATTCGCATTTCAATACAGTTCCTACATTGTGTCCTGGAATGTCAAAAGAACGAACGGCTCATCGGGGCCCATTCGATAAACTCATGAACCGCTCATGTGATCGGCTGAGGCTTATACGGGGAAGTTTTATAAGTTTTATACCAAGATATCCTGCCTCCAGCCTATTCGTCCAAAAATAATCTGATATCTATTTCCAAGTTCGGTAGCTATTACGGTCTAGCCTGTTATAGAATATCAAATGTTTTATCTTCATATGCAGTACAACGTATGCAACAAGCCGGGCAGGAAACCCGACCACCCGAGCGGCGTTCACCCAGCGCGGAAATTGCAGCCGATTGTCTCTCTGATCGTCGTGGTCTAGTGGGAAAAAAAGGTTAGACGACCAACGGCTTCGCCTCCGCTCCGATCTTGTGATCGGTCGAAACCCGTAGAATTCATATCCTCATTGGGAAGTATGAACTCATGATCATGATGGTTGTCATTGGGATCGCGATCTATATTAAGGGACTCGCCTTCTTCTGATAGAGTTTCAAGACATACACATTGCGTTGCATTCCTCCATTGCAGAAAGACTTGTCTTTTAACCTTCGAAATGTCAACGCTCAAGAATTACTTCGGACTTGGGGGAACCGACGCACATTCCACCCCTGCCGACAACAATTCCCCGGCTCACCCTCTCCCTTCCTCGTGGTATTCTTCGCAGGATATACATGAATTGGAGCGACGCGCCATATTCTGTCGGAAATGGCTTCTGATCACGCACAAGTTGCGTTTCCCCAAAACAGGCGACTGGCTCCGATACGACATCGCCGGGTACGCTTTTATTTTGGTGAAAGACCGGGAGGGAAATGTCAATGCTTTCCACAATGTCTGTCGGCACCGTGCATTCCCAGTGGTTACCGAAGAGGGTGGCACCTCCCGGATTTTCTCTTGTCAATATCACGGATGGTCCTACGGCCTTAATGGCAAGCTTGCCAAGGCACCCGGATACCAAGAAGTGGAAGGTTTTGACAAGAGCAAGAACGGCCTTCTTCCTATCCACGTCCATATTGATGTCAACGGTTTTATCTGGGTCAATTTAGATGCCAGCGAGAAGCCCGAGATCTCGTGGGAAGACGACTTTAAAGGAATCGACCTACAGCCACGTTTCACGGGTTTCAACTTCGAGGACTATGACTTTGATAACACCGGGGAGATGAGTGGAGAGTACAACTGGAAGGTTATGGCAGAGCACTACAACGAATGCTACCGTTTCCCAACGACTCAGTCCGACACCTCGGTTTCCAATCTCGATTCATACGCCGTGGATGCCAAATCCACACCCGAGGAGATTGCAAATGGGCTGAAGATTGCCAGCACTTACTATTTCCCCAATGCTACTATGACCGTCTCGTGAGTGTGATTGTCCGGCAATGTAATCCGATTGATGCTAATTTTGTACGCAGGCCACACTTCTTCTTCATGCAGCGACTCGTGCCTACGGGCCCCACGACATGCTCAGTGCGCTATGAGGTTTACCGCAACAAGAACTTTAGTGACGAAGAGTTTGAAATCATCAGCCAAGTGTACAAGCGCATTATGTCCGAAAACCAAGATCGCTGTGTCGAAACACAGAAGAATATCAACATGGGTAAAATCCAGCCCGCGGAAGAGGGACCGGTCAACTTCCAGACTGTCGTTCGTGACCTGATCACACAGCACCATAAGCGGGAAGAAGATGCCGCGGAACAATTTTGGCCTGCACGACAAAGACTCCCCAAGGGAGAGGCAGTCAGCAAAGAGGATATAGATTTCTGCTCTAAGCTGAGTAAGGATGGGTCACCTTTGACCTCGGGGGGTTGTTGTGGAGGAGGATGTGGAGCTGGACCTCCATCTAGGGCAGCCACAGCGCCGGAGACTATGGTGGTTTAACGATGTGCATAATAGCGAATGTTTCGTTGATTTTTTAGCTTTGAATTGTTCTTACGAAGATGACATGTTACATGCACAGGTATAAACTCAAAGAAGGTCATATGAATATGTTTATGATACGTAGGATTCCAATTTTACTATAAAAGAGACCGACTATAGCAGTCTGCAACATACTTCTGGGTGACTAGCCCAGGCCATTTGGATTTGGAAGTAGGTCGCAAATGCCCTCGTCCATACAAAAACCCAATATTAGTAAAAGATAGAGAGGAATAGCAAACGGGATCATTTAACCCTTTTCAGTATAAAAGTTCAGGTTACATGCACATCCACGCACGTAGATTAGGTCGGGGGCACCTATGAGGCGAGGGGAAGAGGAAAAACCTCCCAAAAGACGCCCTTTTCCCCCTTTCTCCGATTATTCCAAGAACATCTCGTTATTATCTCCTAAACATGCCCCTCTCTTAATCTTGTCATGACGATCTCCATCTATCTTATCTCTTAACTAGTTATCTTAACTATCGTGACTATCGCTCCAATACCCCGCTACATCCGCCCCCCGTTTTCTAATTTCCCCTTCAATGATGCCACGAGAGAGCGCGCGCGGAAGGCTACGTTCCCACGAGGCCTGTCTTAATTGCAGGTAATGCAAATACACTGTCTGTAAGTAGCGGGTGGCACTGATCTCCATATAGAAGAAAGAAGACCCGATGTCCAGCCGAGAAACCGTCCTGCTCCAGCTGTGTCCGCCTGAATCAGCCATGCCTTTATACTACCATACCCAGAGGGTCTCGAGGAGGGCAATCTGTATGTAATGGCTTCTGGCTGTCGGTGACCAATCATTGACTTTTTTTTTTGTTCTTTACAGGACGACCGGCTAGCATTCCTCGAAGAGAAGGTAAACCTCATCCTGAGTGGCAGATCAACCCAAACGCTTGCATCAGAAAAGTCACAGGAGAAGGAGATAGGAAGTGCAATTTCAGAAACATGCTATCCTGCCACAACACGTCCACCCTCCATTGAACCAAGCACGATCAGTGACCCATTCTTCCTCGGTTTTGGCTACGAGGACTCGATCTCTCAGCCGTCATCATCTGCGATCGCCAAAGCTATTGATCTTTACTTTGAATATTGCCATCGACAGCCGATCTGGTGTTTTGATCGTGAGGAGGTCTCGGACCCAACTTACCTGTCAGAGGAGCTCGTTTGTTGCCTACTCGCCTTGACCTCAAGATTCTCAAGAGATCGTGACCATTTACAACATTATGGAGATAGTGCAAGAAGCCTAGTCATGCTTCGGATGGCTAACGGCACGGTGGAGCTTGAAACCATTGAGAGTCTTTGTCTACTCTCTTATTCGTCATTTCTAGGTATGAGCCTCGGCTACCAAGTCGAGAGGATTCAATTGTTAATATTATTCTAGATGGAGATATACACCTCGGTCGCTTCCATCTCGGTCTTGCTCTACATCTTTGCCGGTCGGCAACGCTGGATCTCGAATCGAGTCATGGAGGCGAAGGTCCCATGGCCGAGCGAAAGAAGCGTCTTTTCTGGAGTCTCCAATGTCTGGAGCAGTCCTACGGGCAGCAAAATGGGTTTCTCTGTATCCCATCGGAAGTCCTGCGTACCTTCTATGTTGCCTCCAGTAGCGACCGCGCAAAACAAGATGGGACGGAGGCGAAACCTCCACCGCTGCCGACAGACGATCTTGGGTGCTCGAAATCATCCGACATGGGGATTTGGAGCTTAGCAGCTCATTTTGGCTGGGTATGGAGCAGGGTGCGGATATATGTCTCCGATTGTGCTCGAAATAGGCTCAAAGAACCCTGGCGAAACGATTCGATGTACGCCATGGTGCTTTCCGACCTCACAGAAATTGAGAACAAGCTTTCCCAGTGCCATCGATATGACTCGGTCAAATTTTACGAGCGAACAGCAGAGGAGCTGAGATCGAGCCGAAACTACTGGACCCCATGGCTGAAGCTACAGTTTACTTACCACTGCATTTTAACGGTTCTAAACCACCCCTTCCTCTACATTGTGGCATCACAATACAATGACAATTTGGCAATCCCAAACGCTTTCTGGAGACGCTCATCCGAGTTGGTCTTGTTACACGCTACCTGGCTTGTCCGCATGATAGACATGGTATCCGAGAAGAAGATGCGACTGATCGATCCGTTCTTCGGACACGCTGCCGCCATTGCAGCTACGGTGCATCTATACTACTGCTGTGCCGCGGATCCCCGACTAAAGTACAAATCCAAGGTTGATTTCACAAAATGCCGAAGGTTCCTGAAGAGTTTTGTGTCCTTTTCGCCAGCTTGTGGGGTCTTGGTCGGTGTCATGAAACCAAACCGCTGCTTCCAATGCTAACAAACGCGCAGGATCAAACTTTGGACAAGATGACTCGAATTGCTTCCGGGTCGGAAAATATCGATAATGACTGGGAGCCTGAGAAGATTCATCTTAGTATACCTTTAATGTGGGATGTTCTTCAAGTCAACTGTAAACCCAAGCCACACGAAGTATCGACGGGTGGCTTGCTACATCCATCATTAACCCCAACCGTCTCTACGGAAGAGGCGGAGGACAGCCCTGCCTCGACTCTGGAGATTATTGTTGCGATGTCTCCCAATGTCACAGTT